CACCTGTATGAATTGGAACAGGTAAGTTGCTCTTCCACCAAGGAAAAATACTCTTTTCCAAAAAAAAGTTGAAAATCTTTGAGATAACAACACATAATTCCTCAGACCATGACTTGGTTATACATGACGGAATTCCATCAGGCCCAGGCGCACAATTATGTTTAAGGGATTACGAGTGAATATGTCTTTATTTGAAGTGATTTAACATGGCTAATCACGGCACTAATATTGGTTGTTCCATGCCTTGCAGCAGAATAGGCAAACTAATCATAAGCAGAATCATTTTTCATAAATTTTTTTGAAGAGTTTCTCTTTCTTATTTTTGTGTATATCTAATACTCTTGTTGAACAATGACAAGCACTTGCTGCCAGGGCGTGGTTACTTGATTGGAACAGATGAAGAAATAATTGGGCTTAATGCATTATAAAACGGCGATAGTAGGGTTTCAATATTCCCAGCAGAAAGATCAAGCTATCAAGATCAAGGAAGGATCAAGGTGAAGGATGATATTTAAGCAGTAAGGTATAGGTTTATTTAAGAAACTTTGATTTGACACATTACAATGGTTCAACGAACTATCATGTCTGTAATGAAAGGAAATGCAAATTGCTCGAAGATACGGATCCTCAGGCAAACTAAAAGATAGACAGCGATTTACAACTATGGGAAATTGACAAAGCAAAGATCTAGCAGTCTGCCATTACAATCAGGAGTACAGTTGTATTGAAGTGTTTTGAATAGTTATATCAGATGTTGTAGTGGGGGCTATAGCCAGAATTATCACTAGTGATAACCCCAACGCTTTGACTACATCAACAGGTTTAGACCTTTCGGCCACGTCACAAATGAGGATAGTATTTTCCTTATAAATAGAAATAACCGCATTTAAGGGATTGAATTGCATTCGAGCGAATGGAAATAAAGTCTGGAAAGAATGGTGAAAAAGTTTTGGGAAATGTAGATTTTTTCTGAGTTGCAGACAGATTAGCCTGAATGACACCTCAGCATAGCTGAGACAAAGAGGGCTTCTCGGCTTATTTGTAATATTTGCATTACCAGCTGAGTTTAGAATAGAGGAAACGGTAATTTTCTTTCTGGGCGACGAAGGGACACTCTAAAGCTTAACCGAATTCGCCAATAGCAAATCCACAATTTTTATCGTTGACGATGAGAACAAAAAGAAATGGTGGCGAGCAACACGAATCGGCGTATGAGATTTAGGCGAAGACAGAGGTAAAGCTACACTACATATTGCTCTTTTACAGGCTGGAAGAAAAGTTGAATGCTCTGGGTAGCGTCATTAATCTTACTTCACTTAATTTCAAAAAAGCAATCCTTGTCTTCGTGCAAAGCTCTAGGGCTACATCTGCAGCATAACCAATAATATCTTCATACTTTGCGTGTCAATAGCACTTGCAAGGCCAATAATTTATGAATCGCTCTGAATCGCGGCTTGTTTTAGTTCGACATGATATAAAGAAGTGCTCCATGTCAAAAAGCAACAGAAAAAATAGAGATTGAGGAGGGCAAAAACAAAAAGTGGAAGACAAAAACAAAAAGATTGTCACGTATTCAAAAATTAGCATGCAAACAGTAAACAAGGAGAAAAACTGTGAACGCCGCAAAGCAAGGTAGATGTTTGGAAGCATCAACACGCAAAAAACAAGACAGATACTATTTGACGAGAGCACCAAGTGCTAAACGTAGAAACCAAAATGATATCAAGACAAAAAGTTCAATATATTTTCGCATGATAATACAGTTAATACCTCAGAATAGTAAAGACCTAGCTTACTTGATATTACCCGACCAAATGTGTCATCTGGTCGTACCAACGTTTTCGGGTGTCCCTTCCAGCACTTGGAACTAGAGGGAGACAGTAAAAATAATGATCAATACAAGTTCAGTACAAAGACGAATTTTATTACGAAAAGTATGGCTTATAAACAATAATTCTTATAAACTAACTTAGAATTATATTGACACAAATGAAATCATAAAAAAGATGCACTTGCATTTTTGCGTTTATTTATTTCCAGCAAGTTAATGTAAACAATGGACGACACACTTCAAAGTCTGGATTACGTTATAAACGATATTATTGTCTGTGGTCAGTTATACCAAACAGACATACAAAGTGACTGCGCAAATGCAAGTGCATGAACAATATTGTGTGAATGAGTGCATATTCAACCAAACTTGAATGTGCAAAGCAAGAATAAAATGAAAGTGTATATTTAGAGTAAAGCAGATATAATTAAACAAACTACGGAGTAGAAATAAAATATGTATATTTCAACTAAACAGCAATAAAGCAACACAATAAACAAGGAATTATAAAATTACCACACAGAAAATCAAAAATGCGTCTAGAACGCGCGCGAAGAGTTGGCGAACTTTTTGCAAATAAAAAGAAAACATGTCTAAGAACCTGAAGTATCAAGAATATCATCAGATTGGTAAGAGTTGAAAAATACCCAAAAGGACCTATCATCTAGAAAAGAGAATAACCAATCAAGAAACTATAGAGAAAAACCTAAGCGACACAGTTTCCGTAATAATAGTTTCTGGTTAATTCTATTAAAGGTCTTGCTTAAATCACTGCCGGTAACATCCACCTGTTTGCCTTTGCAGAAGACTTCAAATAGAAAACAACGAGATTCAAGAAGGTTAGTAGTGGTGGATTTAATGGTTAATCCGAGACGTAACAATTGTCCCGAATAGTTTAGATAAGCCAATAAGTTAGCAAGTCCTCTATAGTTTTTAACACGATGCCTACTGCTACTTTTATAAAGTGGGAGAAAAAAATTAGTTTTCCAACAGGCAATCTACCCATTACAAGTAACGATTGAAAATTAGTGCAATAATCCGATCTATGCAGTTTTTAAGAACACGGGAGGAGCCCATTCGGGCCTAGCATACAACCATACTTTAACGATCGCTGTTCTTGTAAGACTCCATCATCAGTATTAATTATTCTTGGGATAGATACGCATTCATTTAGGTGGTACGGATAAAGCCGGGTGGAGTTTAAGTTGTTAGCGATGAAATTACGTTGAAAGAAATTAGCAAACAAAGTGGAAATCATAGCTCCATCCACCATTAAAAGACATAATCGAAGGAAATGCCGTAACTTTTCTCTTAGAGTTAGCGCATCTATAAAAACGGTTAGGGTTACTTTTGAGAGAAGCTTTGGTCCTAAGCGAGTACCTAATAACATTCTCTGCTGATTTGAAAGAAACTGCTCCTGACCACGGAGTACCTGGCGTAGTCAAGTGATGCGTCACTTTCTTTGTATTTTTTAAATAGTCTACTCTTAGTATTTTTCAACCACATTAATTTAGCCTGACTGGGTGTGCGTATACCGCTTTAAAGTGGGATAGTGGAACACATATGAAAACAGCGTCATTAACGCTTTTATAAAACTAGGAAACCAACACATCTATGTTTACGATGGAATGATCTATATTAATACCCACTAACAATCTTTTAAAAATGGTGAAGTAAGTTGTTTTAAAAGCATACCTTGGTTGGCCATACTTGGTTGATTTGATGGGCGATTAGGCTTCTCGTCGTACAAAATAAATGACATTGATAAAACGTTTGTTACAAACGCAATCCTGTAGTAAGTGAAATTGTTAATCTCACTCATTGACAAATGAATGACTTTTAGAGAAGTATACCTAAATAAGGGAAAGGAGAACTGAAACTAACTTCGGAAGGAGACTGAATTCGGAAGCCAAAATTTTGCAAAACGGTGTCCAGAACAGTACCTTCGGTAATTCTTCAAAATGCTACCTAGAACAGCGCTTTTTTACGGTTCCGGGAAAGCAAAAAGCGTCACGCATCACACACTTGCTATGCTGGTCTCTTTTCTCTCTTAAATTTTTAATTATTCTTCTGAGGAATTGCAAAACAAAATCGACATTCTTGAAATAAAACAACCGAATCAAACAATAAATAAAGGCTTTTTATAAACAATAAATTTTCTTGCAACGAACGACTGAGTATACCACGGTTATAGAAGGGCAAACCTTGAAGTGAATCGTTGCAACCCAAAATATTTATATGTATTCATAAATGGTAGCATTATAATAACAAAATACAGAATGTTAGCGAGAAATTCAAGATTCTAAAAAAAGAAAAGAAATAGTTATATTAATAAATTAGTACAAACGAGTTCCAAATGTACAATAGCTTAACTTAAACCCCATAAAACTTAATTAAGAAACATAATCGAGCAGGAGCAGCACCGACAAGACGAGAAAGATCCGCTCGCGCGGTGAGAGCTGTTGAGTAACTCCATACATTGTTGCACTTGCATACGGAGTCATCCAACTAGACTAACTTTGCCTTAGGGATATGGACATTAATCAAGCTAAATCTTTTAATGATCTTTTTCCATAAAGCAAAAGGCAAAGGCAAATCGTTACTAGGTTGTATCACTCAGAAATTAGAACCCAGTCACCATTATGTCTATTTTAACAGTTTGGCGTTCAGATCGATTTGCTTCTGGACCAAATCTGTTGCGTTAAATGCCAGCTGTACACGGCACATCGGCACCGGGGCTTCCAAAGTCATAAAAAAACTCTTAAAAACAAACAGAAAATTGCACATTGAAAGTTTACTCAATGCACTACTCTTCTAATAGAGAGAAATGCATCACACGCTATGCAAAAAAATTTGACGGGAGCGCACAATCGAATATAAATGTATTACACATATAATTTAATCATCCACCATTTTTCGCAACTGTTTAGGCTTCAATGCGTTATTTTTTGTTTTCAATTTCAAAAAATCGTTTCTTATAGAAATATAGTGAAAAGTTACGAAGAAAAATAATTGAAAAAATTAGGTAATAACCTTGAACATTTATTTTGAAAAAAGGGGGTATGTAGACTTTTGGCAACAATAGGTTTTTATTACTGAAATTATAGTAAATCTAAATGGTGACGTATTTATATTCTTTATTAGTATAGGAATATCCGTTTATCAATAAAATATAGCAAAACAATATCTTGGATGTGATGCACTCAGTCTCTGAAAAACCTTTGCAACCTTCAAGTTTACGTCTGTATTTAGAACTGTACCATTCTTCATCACAGCTTATGGCTCCAGTTCGTGTATCTTTCGGTGAGACAGGCTGCATGGGACAGGCTTCGTGGGACTTCGGTGTTTTTTAGCTTCTATCTGCGTAATATCAATGCGTGTTCCGATTTACAAGCACCTAAGATGAAGTCTGGATTATTCTTTTTTTTATATGATAGCCATAAATTGATGACTGCCACGTCAATCATATAATAAAATAGTCTAATATACCACTTACGACTTTTGATCCATTACGTTCCTCCCATATTGCGTATTTCCAAATCGCATTGTAATTTTTCATTATTTTTGAACAGGCTATGGAGATTTGTTTCTTTTGTGTTTTTATCATATCTTTTGACAGTTGCGGCTGATTCAATCTATATAAGTTGACCCTAATGTGACACGTAGATTGTTTTTCCACCATGTCACTGAGATATGCAGATCTTCACGATTCACTACTAGTTCCTCATAGGTTCCTCGAACTACAGAGTCAGCTGCACGAGGCATGTAAAACGCTATAAATGTAAACTTCACCTTCTCTTTCTTTTAATTTGAGGTGTTAGAACTTCGACTAGTTTTCATTAAAACTCAAAAGATTTCGTTTTCGTTAAAAATTTTCTGAAGACGTTTTACGGCCAGACATGGGACAGATCGCGTTCCAGAGGTTCTCCATTAAGTGATTTGGAATCTCCTATCGTCTTAATGTATTAAAATACGCCGATATAACTTTTCAATATCTGTAGGGAAAAGAAATAGTGGCAATTGTCTTAAAGGAATGATCTGGTTCTAGCATACAATAAAATGGAATAAAGTAATTGGATATTAGTATTGAATTAATGTTTATTTCTGTCATGTGTTCCATCTGTTGTAATCCTCCATAAAGTCAATATATTGGGCTGTGGTGGAAGGATCCTCCAAAAGCTCACGTTCTACGCTGAGAAATCCCTCCAATTCTCGAAATCCTCTTAACGCGAAGAGGTCGTCGTGAAAGAAATTAGATATACATAATTCAGTAAGTATGGAAAATTAAGTAACTGTTACAAGAATAAGACTTCCAAAAAATATATATTTCTTTGCCATTAGCACGCTGCACTCTTAACAAAAGTCCAAAACTTCAAAACGCCTTTGTTGACCCAATAGAACAATCACTGCCCAATTGCGATGTGGCTACCATTCGCTATTTTATTTATTTATTTAGGTAGCGGATATGTTGGTGAAACCTTCAAAAACCGAATCCATTTATCCCTATCACTAGTTACAAGATTAGACCCAGGCTCCATAAGGACCGAATTTTCGATCAAGTGTAGGTAAATAAGAAAACTTTATACTTTTTTATTATTCTTTTTTCAATTCTTGAAATCAATACCGAAATAAATGAGAGGTACATTTTGTTTCTGTTGTATGCTGCCATGCTGTGGAAATTAACCCAAACAAAATTCATCCAAAATGTGGTGAGATTTTTTTTCACCATTTTTTAAATATATCGAAAGCACCACTTTGTTCTCTCCATTCTCCATAGATGGTACTTTTTTTATAAACCATGTATAAACCATTTGGAAAACACCAGCCAACGGCTTTCTGTGATATTTCACAATTACAACAGAGAGGGGACAAAAACTTACGCATTGGGCCTGACAGCGAGGACGAGGTAGGGTTTCGATGGAAGAGAGGAAGAGATAGCACAAATAGGAGATATACGAATGACAGACGATCTGACTAGGGCGCCATGTGTAGGTAGGCTAGTTGTAGTAAGTAAGTATCTAATAAGCCCAGATGTTTTTATGGACGCAGATGACACCAGCGGTCCGTCAACTTCGGCCCATGCTAGCCTTATGAACCAGTTGGAGGGGGTTAAAGCGGAAAAAGAGGAGTTGAGGCGGCGCCTAGCGAAATATGAAGGCCGAGAGGTAGAACCGATAGCTGACAGCGTGGTGCCGGAGATGGAGACACTCTGGGAGGTCGAGGGGAAATTGAGTCCTCTCGACAAAATTGTACAACTGCATTTTGACGAGGTCTTCACCAACAATCAGGTGCTTTATTCGCGGGCGAACGATGCAATAATTGGGTGCAATTATGTCGACGAGCGCAAGAAGAACACGTGTGCCTACAGAAGGGTACTCGTGATCGCTGTAAGAAGCCTGGCGACGCCGTTTAACATGATTATGAGCAGCCACCCCTCCACACGTTCAAGTTTAATTCCAGTTTGGCAACTGATCGTACTGTGATCGTACGGTTTTAATTTGTGTAAAGAATTATTGCCCTTTTTTCTTTTATCCTACTGTTTTAAAGCTTTTTATGTGTTTGAAGCCTAATTGTTTGTAAAAGTATATAAGTATAAAAGGTATAAAAGTGAAAGAATTATATTAACTATATTGAAATTTTGTCGTGATATTCATTTTGGTTCTTGCGATCAGCACTTGGTGCTCTCGATAATAAGTCTCTTTCGTGTTTTCTTCTTATGGTGATTACAGCGTTTCTCGTGGGCTGTTCTTTGCTTACCGTTGCTTCAATAGTGTCAAGTTTACGTCTAATTTGAGAGAGAATTTTTGTGATTTTGTTTTCTTTCTTTTTTTTTTGGGTGTTTGCAGTTTAATTTTGTTGTCGCTTTCTTGTAAGGGTGTCAACGTAACGGAGAGGTTGCTTAAATTTGTTGAAAAAATTTGTGTTGTTCATTCGATTTATTTCGTGTTGGCTTTGTGATCGTTTTGCCATGCAAAATGAGCCGGTATTATCGGCCGTGCTGCTGACGCAGTCGCTGTTCCCTCGAAATGTTTACGTTGGTTATGTCCTGACTGTAGGAAGCGGGACACTGAATTCTATAAACTCTTCATGGAGACGAGAAATGTGTTCTCGGAATTGAATAAAAATCTCAGCTCCTTGTGGAAGAAGTTTGAACTAATTAAGTCTAGGTTTGATAAATGTCGTCTAGGTTTGATGAATGTCGTTCCTAATGGCGTTACTCAGTCAACTCAGGCGTCGTCGCGTAAAACTAATAAAGAGTAATATAAATCATTCTCTCCCCGGCAGTTCGAAGGGAACGCTGACCACCAAACTGGGCATATCGCACAAGCTGCTCGTGCAAGTGTGGTAACCTCCTCAATATTCTCTCCATCTCATAACTCTCCAGCCGTGCACCCTACTGTTCCTAGTAATAATGACATTTGCTTGACGGCAGCTCCTCCCAGAAAAGCAATATTTGTGTCAAGATTGGCACCTGACACATCTGTAGATAACATAAAATGTTATCTGGCGGCGAAAGTCCCATCAGTCAATTTAAAACGCGTTAGCATTTTCAAATTGGGTCCTTTTCAATCTAGGGCAATATCGTCTTTTAAAATGCTTGTCCTGACTGAAAACGTGGATATGATGTTAAAAAAACCATTGTGGCCAGTTGGATCCTTAATTAAGGAATTTATTCCCTTCGCCCTTCAAAAAACTAAATGTTTCTTCAGCCTCATTAACTCTCACTTATCAAAATGCAAAAATTCGTTGTACGTTCCTAAATTCAGCAGGGATATTTTCTATTTGGCCTTCACTGAAACTTGGTTAAAGCCTGATCTATATTCGTCGGAACTTTCCATAATTCGTTTCAGGTTTGCAGAAATGATCGATTGTATCGTAATGGTGGTGGTGTTTTAATTGCCATATCTACGGCAGCCCGGTCTGTTCAATTGAGTTTCGAGCAAAATATATAACCTACTCCTGTATTCCCCCAAATTCGTATATCTTCATTTATAAGGAACAGACCATGCTCATTTGTGAAGTGGCCAAGCAATCTAAACCTACCAATATGGTCATTGCATTCAATTTGCCTCAAGTCACTTGGTGTTATAATGATAATTCTGGCTGTTTGATTCCCACTTTATGATCTGATAGAGCTGTTATGTTCTTTAATGAATTATTAGGTCATAAGTTATGTCAATATAATCGTACCCCTAATTGCAATGGTAGACTGCTTGATTTCTGCTTTGCTAATTTTCCTCAGATTAGTGTTAATCGTTGTCTACCTTTTAGCTTGCCTGAGGATCCTCATCATTCAGCAATGTGTATTTCCTTTCTTTACAAGCATGATGGTTTGTTGAACTGCCATAACATTCCAAATTCAATTTTTTCAAATAAATATAGTGATTTCCATAAAATCAATACTTCAATGCTAACATCAAATCTTTTACAATTTAAGCTTGCTTTCTCAGTTGTAAGTATTGACAGCTTACTGTCATCGTTCTACAATATATTAAATCTAGCTATTGCCGCATCCGTTCCGATCAAGCAGTTTCGTCCTCGAAGCAAGTGTTCCCCGTGATTTAATAACAAAATTGTATGTTACAAGAACAGAAAGAACAAGCTTTTCGAAAAATTTTCGAAAAGTGGCTCTGCTTGCGACTATTTCGCTTGTTCAGCTGCAAGCCGTAGATTTACCACCAATCAACCGATCAACCACCAATATTATTGCAGACACCTTCAGTTCATTAATTACTCTCAGTTTGCTAATCCAAAACACTTTTTTAAATTTGTCAACTAAAAAAGAAAAATTTCCACACATACCTCGCATGTTTCTTTTAATGGCCCTGATTCCTCGGATGATTTTGAAATCTCAAATCTATTTGCTGAGTATTTCCGACGAAACTTTTCGATTGCTAATTTCGATTTATCAGCAAACTACCCATATCCTATACCTAACTCGGTTTCAATACCTAACTTGATTATTTCGGAAGATGACGTTTTAAAAGGGATCAGCTTTCTAAAATACAGTTGTGCGCCTGGACCTGGTGAAATTCCATCATGTGTACTTAAATCTTACGCTGTCGAGTTATGTGGTTTGATCCCAAAGATTTTTAACCTGTACTTGAATTTAGATGTTTTCCCTTCGTGTTGGAAGAGTAGCTTCCTTATTCCTATCCACAAAAGTGGAAGTAGACAACTTGTTGGGAACTATAGATAGCATGCCCAAGTTGAGTATCTTGCTTAAGTTGTTCGAGCGTATTGTGACTCAGCATGTGGCCTTTGCCATTAATTCGTATATTTCTCCGCACCAGGAAGGCATTCGGAAAGGTCGATCTACAGTCACTAACTTGTTAGAGTTTACTTGTCATGTTTTCAAGGCTTTTTCTAGTGGCTCTCGCACAGATGTGATACACACTAATTTAAGCAAAGCGTTTGATACGGTTAACCATAACTTACTTATCTTTAAACTCCAAGCCTCTGGCTTCCCTTTCTGTTTAGTGAAATGGATAAGCTCTTATCTGCACAACAGATCCTTCAGGGTTTTGTTCAACTTTATCACCTCGGATGAATTGCCCGTTATATCTGGCGTACCTCAAGTCAGCCATTTAGGTCCCATTTTATTTAGTTTATACATTAATAATCTCCCATCGGTGATTAATTTCAGCCAGATCTTAATGTATGCTGATGATGTGAAACTGTTTTCTTTCTTCTCTGTAGAATCGTAATCACATTATCTTCAAAGTGATTTGAATAATTTTGTTGCATGGTGCTCTTTGAATCTTCTAAAACTAAATCCAAATAAATGTAAGAAGCTTTCTTTCTCTAGAAGAAAGTCATCCATAACTCAGCATTTCATTGATTCGCATAAGTTGGAGGACGTCGATACGTTCACAGATTTAGGCGTTCTATTTGTCCATAGATTACGTTTTAACTTGCATATTGAGCTCTCGTTAAGCAGAGCTACGTCCGCGCTTGATTTTATAAAGAGGTGGTCCTTACATTACGAAACGGCTGTACATTTGCTTGGTTAGACCTATACTCGAATATGCCTCTGTTGTGTGGTCTCATTCATATAGGTGCTATGAAGATTCAATTGCATTTCTTCCCCCCTATGAAAATAGGTTGTTTCTGTTATCCTTACCGTCACTTGAGAAACGTAGATTTGTTCTTGACGTTTCCTTCTTAATCCAAGTAATAAATGGTACTATTGACTCGCCTGCATTACTTGGTGAAATAAGCTTTAATGTCCCTAACCGCTTCTCTAGGCACTTTATCTTGGTTAAACTTAGTCAATATAAATGTAATTATTAGCTGTTTAACTCGCGCAGACTTGTTTGCAAGAACCTAAATGACGTCTATCACTTATTCTCATTGTCTAAGTCTTTAAAGTCCATTAAAGCAACATTGCTTAGTAAGCGTGATTTACCTATGTCGTATTTAAACTGGCCATTATGACTTGAAAGTTAATTGTTGTTAACTATAATCGGTAGACAAGCTTATGCATGTTTGCGATGGCTTAGGGGTTCGTTTGCAATTTGGCCCTGTACTGATTATGGGTGTGGCTCTATGCTAGTTGTATACATGCTTTTTTCTTTTTTTTCCTTCTTATTTGTTTATTACACTTATACTAAGCTTTAATATTAATTAATTTAAGATTTGCTTCAAGAGTCAATTGAACTCGCCTGTCAATTTGTTTTAGTTGAGTTTGATGTATAAGTAGAATAAATAAATAAATAAATAAATAAAAGTACTACTAGACAACATCAACCTGGCTAAAGACATTGGGTTCGATGTGCAAGCAGTAGTTTGCGATAGGAATACCGCACATAAAGAAGCTGTACACGCATTACCGGCTGCAGTCGTATTAAGATATGATTACCTGCACTTCTTAAAATGATATAAGGTAATAATAGCAAAAACCAAAGATAAATAAGACCTCAGCGTAAATACAAAATTATACAAAATTATACAAACAGTGACGAAGGAATAGAGCATGATTTTCAATGTAGCAGAATTTAAATTTATCATTGTTTTTATCTATAGCAGTTGCTGAAGACCACGTTTTGTTTGGAGCAAGTGCTGAGCGTTCTTTACGAGAGATGGGCTCCTCAGTTTGAAAGTAGAATTCCAAGAATGACAGCAAATCATTATTGTTGAGCAACCACGTTGGTTGCTTTGAATCTGATGCGTAAATAACCATCCATTTTTCCGATCAAAATGTGGAAGAGGGAGGGCTTCAAATCGTTGTATCCGCTATTATTTAATGCTAGTAGAAACTCTCGCGTTGTGTTATGTAAACTCTCAATGGAAGACACATTTCAAGTGAAGTAATTAATTGATGATCTTTTCAATTAATGTTGCTACCAGGAACCGTTTGAGAAAGGTGTACTCAAGCGGCTTTCAGCTTCTCCTGAGACATTGACCATGAGATATTACTTTTTTTTTACGTCAAATTCCCGCTGCTGGTATATCGCCATCAAACATAGAGTTTGATAGCTTCGAAAGCCGGAAAGATGGTGTATACCCATGTTGAGTTAATAAACTGTAATATATCTATTGTCCTAACATAACTTGAAGCCGCGTTAATGCTTCAAGGAACACACTCGGCTTTTCATAACTGATTTAGATGAGTGGCCAATGTACTCAGAAACTGGTCGCATGCCAATTGATGATATAGTTTACTAATGGTATTAATTCACTATCAATGGACTTTATAGAATTGGTAGTGTTCGTTCGCATTGACACCAGAAAGTCTGATTATAAGTTTTTCTGATTATACGAAAAGTGATCTTGTCGACCAGTGTATGAGGACAAATGTCTACTGATGTTGTTTTCTCATTTGAAGAATGTCCTTGATTGACAGGAGTCACTTCTTGAAGAAGTTGAGGCTGTTTTTTTTCTTTTAGACGAGTTGCTTCTGTACTGAAAGATATCGAAATATTGCTAAACCGATGGCTGGATTTGGTCAAAACATTGACTTTTAAAATAATCCATTGCAAATTGACCCCTAATCGTTTCGTTACTAGTGGAAGTTGATCGAAGACTTCCGTAATCAATAAGTATCGTGTTTAAATGCATAACAAATTTTTCTAAATATTACAGTTTTAGCGAACAAACCTTTTGCTACGGACATATGCGTATTTATCTAGTTAGTGCACTTGATAAACGTAAAAAATTTAGAAAAACTAGAAATTATACTTTCTCTCCATATAAGGACTTACCTTTCATGATAACCTTTACCTGTTAGGATCTAGAAAATAGATCTATGCAGTCCCAATCCCCTACTATTAATTTTTTTGGTTTATTATTTTTAACAATTAAAGATTTTCTGACGAGCTTACTAAGATGACAAATTTCATATAGAGTGGGTTCCAACAAATGGATCCATGTGTTTCAAATTTGGTTCACTTAATTGAACCTCCCCACCCCACACCACCTGTGGTGCAGGCTGTATGTTACATTCAGAAGGACTTAGGATAGACCCATCTTTTATTTTAAGTATCGATTCAGAATCATTTCCAGTATAATTTTCTAAATAGATTAAAACTTATTACGATGAAATTTAAAATGAAAAGTCGGTACATGGAAAAAAATTGCAAATTTCAAAATTTCCCAGCAAAACTGGCTAAGTAGTAGTATTTCGGCAACCTGAATTGGAACAAAAATTTTAGGCCGCCTGTGACATTTTTTGGAACTCCCGTAACGTTAAGTCTGGAAACTCTCACGTCTGTCGAACTATCAAACTATTACTTTTACGGCTACTCTTCAGTGTCCCTTAAAGGGCGTTGGAGGGTGCAGAAGCCATCGTACGTGGGTGATTACTTAAATTGTTGTGTACGTAAAAATAACGTGATGAAGAACCTTGCATGCCGATTGTTTGCTGATATTAGAGATGAGAGAGGTGAAGGTGATTACGTAACGAAGAATGGAACCAAACATTGCTGTTGTACTTTTAATGGTTTGTAAATTATTCTCGAGTTTATCAACACAATGAATACATTAACGCAATGATATGTATAAGTCATTTCAGTTTCATTTTTGTTAAATAACTTTCAAATTGTTTTACACTCCTCTAAAATATTTACATGCCTCACCATATGATACAAGCAGTAAGATTCACCGCAATTCCCGTCTTCACCATTTTTCATACGGTTATGAATACGCTGGACCTTATTTTAGCAGGTTTTTCTTTGTCGACATTTGAACGTTGTTCCAACTTATGTTGGTAATATTATATTTCTACATTTATTTACATCTCATAATTTTCATATTGTGTTTGCTTTCTTAACTGTTTTTTGCTTTCATTTTTTCATTCATTCCATCTCTAGTTTTTATTGCAGATTCGAATATAGCGCAGTTTTTAGAACAAACTTCAAACTCTAGAAATATTTAAAGTAGTAAGTAGAAGTCACATGTATAAATTTTGTTGTATTACAAGATATGTATGCTGACATTGCGTAGTAATTTACGCCAAGAATTAAGCAAAGCACCCTAGGTATAATAAACACACGATATTTTTCTATGACTTTCAACAATAGCAAACCCTGGCACAAAAGAAAGTTTTACAAACAGTTTTTTTCCTAAAAAAGTTGTTACCGCGCAAAAGGAGCACTTACACAGATGGCAAGAGAAATATCAGAGCTTCCTATGTGGAGGGATTCTGCCAGCTTAATTATATGTGTCAAAACAACTGACGAGGTGCACGTTTTTAACTACAAGGTAATGGATATATTCTAATCCTACTTCTTATGAACTGTGGTTGTTTTAGCTGTTAATGTTAAAACGCTCAGATCGCACAGCTTTCATTGAAGATCAAACTGTTTTCCCTGGTGGATTATATGATGAAAGTGACGAGGTTATAGAATGGTTGAAATACTTCGAAAGTTTTGGTGTAACTGAACAAATGTTTGAGAAATTGTTGGGAGGTCGTTGTTATGATCAACTTTTTAATTCAACCAACGCAATGCCAAGGTAGGACTTATTCGGCTTTCCATACTATTGTTGTCCATTAACAATTTTTTGGTGTAGAGAAATTTCTTTGCGTATAAACGCTTTGCGTGAGACTTTCGAAGAGGTAGGTGTATTTATATGTCGCAATCGTGAGCAATTACTCACGATTCAGCAATGGTCCTTCTGCAAACCTGCCTGTGATTACCAGCAAAGTTATTGGCAGGAAATTGTTCATAACGATCCGCGGCAGTTTCTGCGTATGTGTCGCGAATTAAAAGTCGTGCCGGATTTGTGGTCACTTCACAAATGGTCATGTTGGGCTACTCCCGCTGCACTTAGAAAAGGGTAATAAATAAACATATTCAAAGGCTCGTCACTTTTTTAATCTAATCAACCTTTATTTGAAAATTATTTAGTTACGAAACCACATTTTTTGTAAGCTTTCTACAAGAAACTCCTATGTTATTGCCTGAAAAAACTGAAGTTAAAGAGTGCCTGGTAAATATCTATTGAATGAATAAGTTTATGTTTCTCTCAAGTAATTGCGTGTACTTTTATAAAGTGGTTAAGCCCCATGCAGTACCTGCAAATGCACCGTGATAAAAAAATCCATCTATCTTCGCCACAATTCTACGAAATAACCCGCTTTACTTGTAGTGGATCTTTTGATAAACTGCAAAAGTTTGCTCAGGAGCGTGATAAATGTGGTGTGGCTTTTTATTTACCCATCTTATATTTGTGTGATGATGGTATAGTCTCAGTTTTACCAGGTTCTACATAGTCTTTATATATAGGTATTTACTTAACACTCGGTTTACTAATATTTTCATATTTTTATTAGGCGATGATTTTTATATTGGGGACGCTCGTACTAGTTTAGAACTAAGGCAAACTAATTGTACTATTGAGCAATTTCGGTTAAAATCTAAACGTATGCATCGCATTGAAACTATTGGATCGCCCGTGGCAGTTTGCCTAAATTTTAAACCTTTTAAACCTTTAGATAACCATTTACTATCTATTTGCGAAGGTGAAGTTGATAATAAAGCTAAACTTTAGATTCGAATTTTTTGTTATAACAAAAGTGGTTACATTTTTTTCCAATTATCTAACGGCATTTCTTATAAAAAAGTATTTAGAGCTCTAAACGAGCCTTTTAGCAAAAATTGGTTATATTTATTATATTAATCAATCCCTTTATTGCTTAATTCGCTATCTTGTTAAAGCACCATTACTTTGAATACTCTGCGGTTGGTTTACGAGCAACCTTGAATGAAATTTTCAACGATGGGATGACAGCTTTGCATATAACGAGTATTAGAACGGCTGCACTCGTATTTCCTTTCCATACATTATATCACTCAGCAATAGAGAAACATCGAGATTGGCGGAAAAGTAATCTTATAAGACGTACAGGGGATCTGCGGGACGTAAATTAAAATACAAATGTATGTAGACTGTTTCATGTAGATTTCTACAGAAGTCTCACGCGCCAATAAAGGCTTTTGAATACATTCTAGAGAAAGTATGGGACAAGTGATGACATAAGAAACATCTACGTCCCAGTAAACCATTTAGTCCTTACTTTGGAGTTGCTAGGGTCTTAAAACACTTGATGGCGATTTAACTTAAGCGTTGCACAGAGCACCATTTCTGTTGTTGTATCAGAAATCATGCAAGAAATAAGATAAAAACTTTGCGAGGAATTCGTTGGGGCGATAATGTCAGTACAAAAAGAGTGGTTCTAAACGAAATTTGATATCGCTGCTGGTAAGTAACTGGTTCTTGATACACATTATTGTACAATAAATAGTGATTGAAATATTCCTAATATTTATTGACGTGATTGCGTGGATGGAATCCACATCTCTTTTCGTAGACCCGCACAAAATGGGGAATGTTTCATAAGCCAAAAAGTTGACATGTCGTTTGCAATTGCAAATTGAATTGTATTGAAATGATCCAGAAATAATAATCAGTTTAAGATGTTTTGTGGAAATTCAAAAGATAATTTTTATCTTATAATAAAAAGCTACGATTGATTTGCTATCCATTTTAAAATATTATACGTTCTTTACAGGTAAATTCAAATATTAGCGTATTAATATATTGTATAAATTTAAAATGGTACTTATTAAAATAAAAGTTCAGTTTTACAGATCAAAGTTTTCCCAACAAATAAAAATATGAGATTATATGAATAATGTGAAATTTTTTCAGCACATTTTATTTTGTCAAAAATTTTAGATAATTTTACATTTGCGTGACTTTGCTATTGATTATATCATTGCAAACAAACGTCATATTTGCTCTTTATTTTCCCGTTGTTTCTTCAAACTTAATTTCGAATGATGCAAGCCGTACATAACTCTCGGCCAAATGGTTTTCAAGGTTCGTCTTTAATATGAGAGCTAATTAAATAACAAACACATAATTAGTGCGTAGATATCATTTTGCGTAAGTATTGATTTTTTATAACTAGTTCAGATTTTTCAAAGTTGCATTTATTAGAAAAAAAAGGTGTAAAATAAAAACAGAATCTCACGGAAGTTGTTATCGGCACATACAGAAATAAAATATTTCAAATTTGTGAAAGGTAAATAAAATATTGTTAATTGATATTAATAAACAATCAAGTAATATTGGTCATTCATTTCGACTATAAAATAAATTCCGTGCACCTTTGCGTGTGCGTGTAGTTCAGTTACCACAGTAACATCGTCTACAAGACAATTTGTATATTCCAATAGGTATACCACTTATTTGTCGGAAATATTACTTCGTCGAAATAGTACTCCAAACGAGCTATTCTTTTTACTCTTAGCGTTTCTTTTCTGCGCTTAAACAATGAAGCATTTTTAAAAATATTTTAAGTAGAAAATTTGAGAAAGAACTGTAAAATTTTTTATTTATTGATTATTATTTACTTATTACGAGTATATGTGACGAAGAAGTATTTACTAAACATAAAAAAAAACTACGCACAGGGTTACCGTTGCTCACATATAAGTAAACTCATAATAAGAATCGATTGTAGTCTATTAATAATTAAAAGTTTACAGTTACTCTTCCGTCATCTACGAGGATGATGGGCTCATTTTCAATACTGGTTTTAACATATTTGAACGCATTTTTTTTAGTAATTTGTACAACAGCAGCGATGCCCTCACATTGTCTTGCAGAACTTTGCGCTTTTCTTAATTATATGTCGTGCTGGTATGGTACCTACAAAATTTTATGTAATTATACCTATCGCCGAAGGATAAAGTGTATATTCATTTTACCAAAATTTTGCAACTCCCAGAAAGAAGTTTCAGAAACCCCTCAAAGTGTATATATTCGTGAGCAACAAATTTTGATTTGATTCAAGCATGTCTGTCCGTATCATGTCTGCTGTAAACATTTTCCATAAATGAAGCTATTCAGAAAACAAGCTATCGAGCTCAAACTGGGCACAAACATTGAAAGTTCTTGAACGCAGCTTGGTATTGAAAACTACTAGATGTGCACGTCTACAGTATCACGTAAACCGAAAGCACCTACGTTTTTCTAAAGGAATAAAAAACTGTTCATTACTCACCATCAACGGCAGATAAATTTACAAAAATTTCAACACATATTCTAAATGTGAAAAATCGACAGCGTCTATCCAATATTATAGTGTATATTATATATGGAAATTTGTGAATATATTCGTTACGTATAAAAGCTTCAAAAACTTCACAAAGAACATAAATTCTTGGCCCTTTCAAACTCGGAATGCACCTGTTTCTCTGATAATCCCTCCATTTGTTCATCTGCCAATCTGTGTAGTATCTGTGGTACGCATCCTTCCGTTCACAAAGCAGAAGATATCGTATATAAATTTACAAAAGCGCTCAAAAGTGGTGCGAACAGGTAAAAAAAAATAAAGAATCGCATTAACTGTATACCACTTATTTTCAGTCTAGGCAAAAAGCAGATAAAATTTAATCCTGTACCATTTGTCAGTCGGTCTTTTTCGTCTAATGTATGATGATAAAAGTGATATTATGTTCGTAACTGTGATCATCGATCGATTAAGTTTAAAAACTTCTTTAATCACCTGATAAAACAACTAAAAACATTATAGTCGGCGCACATACATCACATACTCTAAACCACTTCCCCTAGTTCACTCGTTTTGATAACAGTACACCAAGAGCTACACATTATTTTCATGCAAAGCCATAATTTTCATGTAAGCCCACATATTGGAAGTTTCGATTTTCTCTCCATATAAGAGTTTGCATATCGTAATAGCATCTATATAAGTGGGGGTCCAAAAGAAATACACCTATGTGATCCTAATTCTCTACTGTTATTTTTTTTTTGCCGAAACGCTCCTATGAATTATTAAGATACCATCAGTTAAATTATATGGAGTGAGGGAAGGAATAGACTCATGTGGTTCAAATTAAGGCCACTTAATTCTTTTATTCAATTGCTAGCCAATTTTCATCAAAAATTAGGAATTAGGCTTTTTTGGCGCAGGGAGTTACGTTTCCTTGTATCCAAAAAATAGATCTACGTGGTCCAAACTCGGTAAGTTAGATTTCTTCATAAATTTACTATTATGAGTCAAAAAGACGGACAAGCAGGCTTAGATCAACTTAGAAAATGATTCTGAATCGATCGGCGTAATAAAAGATGGGTGTGTCTTAGATGGGTGTACCTCTGGGTTTTGCATACATCCTCACTATAACAAGTCGTGTAGGATATAATAAGACTGAATGTTATTATGTCATATTACACGTTTTGTTTCTTGCCGTAGCGTTCTTCATCGATTTCGATGTGTCTTTGTGACAACATCGTACAACATCGTAAGCAGTAGTAATTCTTAACTGAAAAGTGTTCTTCAAAATGTTTGCAATCAACTTAAAGCTGCTCATCTAAATTACCGAAGTAAAAGACTTTCTTCAAATTCTGTCAAATGTGATAAAGGTGAAACTATTTTAAGGGATAACGTGTTTGATTTATTCGCGTTTTCAGAAACGTGGCTTCGTGGGAATATTTCGCATCGCTGACGCTATGTATTTTGTAGGAGCAATTGTTCTTCTAGAGATGATAGTGTGAGTGTGTTGTATCTAGCAAACCTAAATTTTTCTAATTTCATTTAACGAGTTGATACTTTAGACAATTTTTTCACTTGATAATTTTCCTTGTGCTCGTTCATTTACTTTCTTCCCTTCCCATATATTTCAAATGCATTTTTTTAATTTAGATGGAAGTTTCTTATTTCGTTTATATGACATATTTTAAACATTCTCATACATAACGTGTGGAAATAAACCGCAACTCTTTCCAAACGTTTGCAACGCCCAGAAGGAAGCATTAGAGACCCCGCGAAGTATTCTTGATCATCATCAAATTTTAAATCGATTTAAGCACGAGTGTCGGTGTAATGTTGGTTTTAAACATTCTCCTGGGCGCAAAAATGAAGCGATTGACTTCAAATTTGGCGGGAACATTGAAAGTTCTTTCACGCAGCTTGGTATTGAAAATGGGCCAAGTCGGTGGAAGGAGACGCCCACACCACCATGTAAACTGAGAACACGTCTGCTTTTCAAAAGTAATAAATAATAAACTATGGACGAGGCTGGTACCTGGTCAAAAATAGAAAAGATTGACCACGCCTGCTTAATATTATAGAAAAAAAAAATTTATTTTCTTTTCAATACCTTTATAACAGAAACAAGCTCCATAAAGTTTATAAATTCTTGGCCAGTTTTAAACTTGGAATGAATCTAAACATGTCCGCACTTTTATTTATTTATCTTTTTTTATCTGAAAATAGAAACAGTCAACCGCGCCCACTCCATACACTAGAGCGTAAAAATGTAGTTCTTTGTATCTTTCTCCTTTTTATTTCTATCATCAGTTTTTAGAATTAAATAATAGTACAACATCTTCTGCCATATATGCCATTGTTTACCTTTATATGAAGAATGTAGAAACGTAAATAAAAAATTAAGTTTATGCTGAATTAAAAGAGGGAGTCTGCATTTGTTGATAACTGGTTGAATTTAAAAATCGACTCGGAATTTGGTTCCATCTGAGAGGGATTGAAAGAGCGACTCTGTATTTGGTTCCACATGAGCGGCTGAATTTGGTGACAATTGAAAAAAAAAGGACAAATTATATGCTTCAAAGGCAAAGGGCTTTTCTTTTTTATTTGTAAAAATTTTATTATTTCTATGAATTCATTAATTAAGAATTTTCATTTTGCTTTAAATATGGTTCTGAATTTTTATAAGTGTCGTATTCATAAATTAGTTTAAGTAAGTACTCAAGTGATTTATTAGTCACCAAGACATAGAATTAATTCACTCAACCACCAATGTTATTGCAGATACTTTGTAACGTCCGCGAACAAAGTTATAGTAGGGTGTCAGTCGGTCTGTTTTTGTGGTAAATGTAATAATAACGGCATGCCGTTATGCAAAATCGCATGATCACAAAGATAACGGCTTGCCGCTATGCACGAAGAGACCAAGTGAGAGAAAAATGAAACAATTTGAGAGAAGAGAGCGAAAAAATTATGCTTGAGTTTTCGGTGGCTGTTTTTTGGCTACGCGAGGGGTGAAGTTTCAGTTGTGAAAGAGATTGGATTGGAGGGATGGTGACGTTGAAATCAGAGGAATTGACTTTCTTTGTAGTAACAATTTATTAAAAATTAAAAAGAAGAAAAAAAAGAGGAAAATATAATGTTGTTTTCTACTTGTAAGTGTTATCGATACAAAATTTGGTTTAAATCATTATAAGTATTAATAAAGGCATAAAACATATTAATAAGAAAGGAATTGATAATGTCTTGTATATATCTATGTAATTAGCGAAATTCAGTACAAGAAAAGAAACAAAAATGTGAAACGGAACATATCAAAAGTTTTACAAGTATTACAAGTACTACAAGGTTTGTGTCTAATTGCATAATTTCCTGATAATGAATACTTTATAAAAACAAGAAATAAGTCATTTAAAAAAGGAATGTATTTGGCAAAAGTGAAAGAAAAGAAAAATAAATAAAAAGAAAGAATACGTTGAAGAACGAATAAACTAAGGTACCGAAAGAAAAAGCGATCCGTTAACAATAACAAATTTCTATTTGAAAAGTAAAACAAGAAACATATGCGGTTATGTTAACAACTGTTTAGTTATATTAGTGCTAAATTGTATTTATTTACTTGCTGATGTTTTAATGACTATTTAAAAGTTTAAGTTTTATTTTTTTTTGCTTATGCGCAATTCAAAACTGGATTATATTGAAACTAACCCAAAATAAGTAAATAAAGTGCTTGTTAAAGCCTTTTCAAGAAAAAATAAGGAAAAATCTATATTATTCAAGACATCCTGGTAAAAAGGGCAAGTAGCTAAGCCCTGTTAATGACTTAAAAGTTTGTATTGTGGTGAAATTGTCTGCCTTGGTGTTTTGCAGTTTGGGCTTGTCCTCGATTGAATACAAACAGCATTGAAAGGAAAGAATCGAATAATTTTACATTTGCGGCTATTCTCAGGGAGCTAGAGCAGGTTCATGAGCACCTCTTCACTACTTGTAAAAATCATCAATCTGTCACCGACTCAAAGGCTGCCAACTTATAAGAGGATTACAAGATATTGTTTTATTTAAGAAAACGGAAAAGAATATGAATAAATAAATAGTGTACTCCACTGCTGAGGCGGAGAACGGAAGGAAACGCGCATGAGTAAAGTATAGGAAAACTTGGGACAGAACAAACGGAATAAAATAGGGCCAACGAACGTCATACAGGACGAACAACATAATTACGTAATGACGTTGAGTTAGATTAAAATATATATTACTTTTTATATATATATATATTTTTTCTTTTTTATTGTGAGGCGGTACTGCGGGCAGAGAAATAAAGGGCAGCTGCTCCACCGTTCCTCTCTATTTACTAATCCTAAACACTTTTTTAAGGTTGTTAACTCCAAAAGAAGCATCTCCATAAATCCCCCGCATGTTTCTTTTAATGGCTCTGAGCCCTCGGATGAGACTCAAACCTCAAATCTCTTTGCTGAATACTTCCGACGAAACTTTTCGATTGCCCATTTTGATTTATTAGCAAACTATCCATATCCGATAACTTGGTTTCAATTAATAATTTGATTGTTTCAAAAAGTGACGTTTTTGTAGGGTTGTGCTCTCTGAAATATAGTTGTGCGCCTGGGCCTGACGGAATTCCATCATGTGTACTTAAATCTTGCGATGTGAAGCTATGTGCTGTTATCTCAACGATTTTTAACCAGTCGTTGAATGTAGGTGTTTTCCCTTTGCGTTCGTAGAGTAGTTTTTTTATTCGTACTCACAAAAGTGGAAGTAGACAACTTGTTGAGGACAACAGAGGCATTGCCAAGTTGAGTGTCTTACATAAACTGTTCAAGCGAATTATGGCTCAGCTCTTGGCCTTTGCCATTAATTTGTATATTTCTCCACATCAGCATGGCTTTTGGAAAGGAAGATTCACGGTTACCAATTTGTTATAGTTTACTTGTCATGTTTTCGAAGCTTTTTCTAGTGGTTCTCGCACTGATGTAATATACACTGACTTAAGCAAAGCGTTTGATATGGTTAACCATAACTTACTTATCTTAAAACTCCAAGCCTCTGGCTTCTCTTTCTATTTACTGTAATGGGTAAGCTCTTATCTGCATAATAGATCCTTCAGGGTTTAACTTCATCACCTCGGATGAATTCCCCGTTGTGTCTGGCGTACCTCAAGTCAGCCATTTAGGTCCCATTTTATTTAGTTTATACATTAATAATCTCCCATCGGTGATTAATTTCAGCCAGATCGTAATGTATGCTGATGATGTGAAACTGTATTCTTCCTTCTCTGTAGAATCGCAATCACATCATCTTCAAAGTGATTTGAATAATTTTGTTGCATGGTGCTCTTTGAATCTTCTGAAACTAAATCCAAATAAATGTGAGAAGCTTTCTTTCTCTAGAAGAAAGTCATCCATAACTCAGCATTTCATTGATTCGCATAAGTTGGAGGACGTCGATACGTTCACAGATTTAGGCGTTCTATTTGATTATAGGTTACGTTTCAATTTGCATATTGAGCTCTCGTTAAGCAAAGCTACGTCCGCGCTTGGTTTTTTAAAGAGATGGTCCTTACATTACGTAAAGGCTGTACATGTGCTTGGTTAGACCTATACCCGAATATGCCTCTATTGTGTGGTCTCCTTCGTATAGAAGAAAGCAATTCTTGCTATTTGCCCTTAGGAATTTGGGTTGGGATCCGATTATGAAAATAAGTTGCTTCTGTTGTCCTTACCGACTCCAGAAAAACGTAGATATGTTCTTGGCGTTTCCTTCGTAATGAAGTAATAAATGGTGCTATTGACTCGCCTGCATTACTTGGTGAAACAAGCTTTAATGTCCCTAACCGCTTCTCTAGGCATTTTATCTTGGTTAACCTTAGTCATTGTAAATATAATTATAAGCTGTTTAATCCACTCAAAGTTGTTTGCAAGAACCTAAATGACGTCTATCACTTATTCTCATTATCGGATTCTGTAAAGTCCATTAATGCGCGCGATTTACCTATGTCGTATTAAACTAGCTTTGAACCTTGAAAAGTCGTTGCGATTCGAAAATGAATTGTTGTTAGCTATTATCGGTTGCCAGGCTTATGCATGTTTGCGGTGGTTTAGGGGTTCATTTGCAATTTGGTCCTGTACCAGTTGTAAGTGTGGCTCTGTGGTGGTTGTGTACATGTTTTTTTTCTTTTTTTTTTCTTCTTATTTGTTTTATTGTACTTATACTAAGTTCTACTATTAATTAATGTAAGTTTTGCTTTAAGTGCCAATAAATAAATTAAATTGAAGTATTTTTGAATTGAGTTAATACGAATGAAACTTATGTGTCACAAACGAACTTAAGTGTAAACTGAGGTATAATATGAATCGATATATGCGTTAATTCAATGGATTGGCAATATAACATGATGTATGTGATATATATAGTGTATACATATTTATAATATAAATACATATTATAAAGATGGTCGAAGAAAATCAAAACGAAAAAATTATTATTCATAAATTCTAAAACAAAAATATATACATATATCAAAGAAAAAAAATACAAAAAATGATTTGAAGGAAAATAATTTTACTGAGAGAAAAGACAACTTTTAAGGTATTCGGATTCTTTATCGATAAGTTAGAGAGCAACCTTCCTCTAAAATTATGTTTTTTTTTGTCAGCATTACCTCATATTAACTAAGATTCATAGCATATAGAGCACGGATTGGGGCTAAATCGCAGCTACACAACCATAGTTTGTTTATTTATTTGTTTTTAGTTTAACTTATACAGAAACTCAATCAAAATAAATTAACAGTCGAATTCAATTAATATCTTAGAAGTAAATCTTATACTAAATATGTATAACTACAAAGTATGTAACGAAATGCAAAGACAAAAAAGGAATCGAATACACTGCTAGTACAAAAGCGCATCCACATCTGACACAGAACCAAATTGCAAGTGATCCCCTACGTTTCGCAATCGATGTAGTAAACAACAATAATTAATTTTCGTATCATAGTGAGATGTTAAGATTGTTAATCAGTTTCAATACAACATAGGTAAATTTCGCTTAATAATCGTAGCCGTTTTGGTAGACTTTAAAGAAACCGATATTGAGATTGAATGATAGACATCATTAAGATTCCTGCAAACAACAACAGTTATAAAAACAGCGCGCAAAAAACGATCACTCTTTCAGTTGTTCAAAAGCTGTCAAACTAACAGATCATACGCGACAAATTAAATATCCGTAATACGGGTAGGCGCGGGATATGTTTCTCTGATCGAAAACGAGGCTGCCCACTGAAAACGTGTTGATTGGTTTCTGTCTGTAACCTCGCAAATAACACTATTTCGTATTCTTCTTAAGTTCAGACAATATATATTTCATTTCATAAAAAAAAACACGAAGGTTCTTTTAATTTATCGAATAAAATATCTTGGAACGCACCGCTAGACAGCCCTGAGCGAAACCTCAGCTATAGACAGCCCGTTATAAGTGGCGCTTAAGCACATACCTTCGAATAAAAAAGAAAAAGAAGAAGAAGAAAAAAACTTATAAAGGCAAAGCGTGTGTTCCATTAAGTTAATAAAAGTAAAGAAAAAGGAAAACCAACATACTGCGCACATCGTGGATCAAGAAAGATGAGCTCGCTGCTGTTTCTGTAGAATTCGGCCTGGAGAATTTAAATGCAGTACTGGCTATGCGAAAGGCGTTGGGAGTACTAACAGGCTCCACCAACTTGAATAAAGGGTCAATTGAACGTCTAGAAACCACATATACGCCACGCACAACGTTAACACTGATGGTAGCAGATCTCGAGCTAATAGCTCCAGACATGCGACCCAAGAGTTGCGCGAAATGCCTGCCATCGGTGTGCTCAAGAAGGACAGGCACAACACTGTTCATATCCGCGAATATTATTCTGCTGGGAGTGTGGACGCAGAAGCGTTTTAACAAAGGATTGCTGTCGCGCCAGTGGGCTGGCTAGTCGTCGGTTTAGGAGTATGGTCATAGCTGATGACACAGACATCTACGAGCCTAAACCCGAGCGTCCCGAATCCTCAGAGCTGCACGTCGACAAGTCATCTGTAGTAGCCAACGTTACCATTGGCGAGTTAGTAATTAAAGTCGTGATCGATACTGGAGCAACTGGAACAATAATCAAGTCTAGTCTGCAAGATTTCATACCATTCCTGTCAATAGCACGTAAGCACGTCAACCCGTATGGCCGACGGGGCATTACGGTACAGTCATCGCGAACTCATTACTGCCGTCCATGTGGGGGAAACTCATTTTCAGTTATCATTGATAGTCCTAGACGACGTAGTCGATAATCTCAATTTAGGCATGGATTTCCTGATCAAGCAGAGGCAACATTAGTTATAGGACAATACCATTTAGCAACACCGTGCAACAACATCATCAGACGTGTCCTCGGCTATCGTAGCCAACTCATCTCATGACATTACTAGTGTGATAGATGCAGCTTCACGCCTCGCTGTTGGAACCAAGCACGACGCTTTCATCAGACAAGCTCCAGCGAAAAGAACAGAAAACGCATTCCTCACCCGCGCAGATTTCCATGTGTGGATTGAACCGTCAGACAGACCCTACAGCGCACCCGTAGTGCTAGTGCCGAAAAGAAGTGGAGAATGGAGGCTCTGTGTTGACGATCGCATACTAAACCGTGGATCAATACAGGATGCCCATCTATTACCCACAATAGAACATGCCTTCATAAATTGCGCGACGCAAATTGTATCTCCACTATCGACTTAACAAATGGATATCGGCAGATCCCCATGGACCCCTATAGTAAGAAATATACAGCCTTCACTGCACCGCGTCATGGTTTATTTCAGCGGTACGTTATGGCCTTCACTATTTATTCTTCTTTTACACTCGGCGACAGTAACCTTGCAGAGAGCAGTCAGAGTCATCGGCTCCGATTTAGAAGCAACAAGCCCAGCATCTCAAGCAGGTAGATAAATGTTACTGTTTCACAAAAGAATTAAAGTACCTAAGACATCTAGAGACGGAAGATGGAATTAGCACCGCTCTTGATAAAGTTGCAGCCTTCAAAAACATCAAGCCGCCAAGAGAGTTGAGACGCTGTCTAGGTACAGCCTCATGATTTATCCCAGGCTATACAAATATTACAAGCCTAATAAATGCCCTGTTGAAGAAGAAATCCCTTTGGAACTGGGGCTTAGAGAAGCAGAAAGCCTTTGATGGTTTAAAGCGCTGTTTGACGGAAGCACCAGTTTTCGCGTGTCCTGATTTTAATGAACATTTTATAGTGCAAATCGATGCTAGTAACGTGGGCTTTTGGCGCTGTCTTGACAAATTCAAATTCAAAATACAACAGAACGGGTGATAGCTTAGGCCAGCCAAAGACTACGTGGAGCAGGAGCCAACTATTTCGCGATGGAAAAAGAGTGTCTAGCCATTGTCTGGGCAGTCGGCACATTGAGACCATATTTAGAAGGGTATCATTTCAAAGTAACAACGGACCATCAGGCTGTAAAATGGCTTAACGTCGTGGAAAAGTCCACGGGAAAAGTTGCACGCTGGGCATTGAATCTACAGCGGTTCTCTTAACTTCTTCTCTCAAATTGTCGATACCCACGACAACCGGAAGAAGCAATTGAAAGATTCTATGGTATGAAAGCCACTGGCCATTGCTCGAAAATTCAAGTAAGGCGAAGATAGTCCCGAGAGCACACAAGATTATATAACAGTGAATAACAGGTTCTACCATTTTATCCCACCGCAACAAGACGAAGTAGACGAAAATTCACGGAAATTATGCGTTGTGAAATACGATAGACCACCAGTCCTTCGCGAAACTCCGACGAGCTTGCAACTGGTCACACGGGCATACGGAACAGTACGAGACGCATTTCTTGACTTTACTACTCGCCAGGAATGTTCCGCGCGATAGCAAGATATTTTCGAAGATGTAAATCGTGCCAGTAATACAAGTTAAGTCAATAAAGACCGGCAGGAATAATGCTAGTCCACCTTCCAAACGAACCATGCTGCACAGTGAGTGCGGATTTCATTGGTCCTCTTCCCAGATAAGTACCCGGACGCAAGATGATGGTAGTTATGAGCGATCGGCTTAACATCGGCATTCCGCGAAACAATTCAAACATTTGCTTGAAGAATTGGAAAAGCGACAACAATTCACGGCGCCTTAGTCCCCACAAGCGAATCGGACGAAGTGAATTAACCGAACCCAGAAAACGATTATAACATAACCCCCGACAGGCGATCAACGGCTTTTGGAATGCGTTACTTTGCGAAATAACACCAGCCTTGAACATGGTCACCCCTGACGTAACCGGCAATTCTGCTGCCTTCTTAAACTTGGGCAGAGCAACCCGACGTTCAAGTGTACTTTTCGAGAAAGAAATATGAGACACGGTTGCTAACGCAGAGATTATGGAAGAAAAAACGAAGAATTCACGCGAGATACTATAATGTGAGGATATGTGAATGAAAGCCAGAACGTAATTATAAAAACACATCACTGATCAAACACAATAGGAGACAAGTTGGCACCAAAAGACGATTATCCATACATAGTAAGTGAATTCAAGTCTCCAGTTATCTCGATGGTACAGAACCTGGACTGGAAAACCGAAAAGGAGTCCATGTGAGCGAAGACAAAATATTCCAAGAGTAGGACGTTTTTCATTACAGCGAGAACAGCCAACTATAAGAACCTATCAAACCGTTCCTACCGTAGCACCAAGAGTGCAGTACTAAAACGGACAGCAATCGATTTGTCTAAGCACTCGAGGTGCAGTGACGCACCGGGTGCAGCGCCATCCCGAAAAAGAAATATAAATATACATTATAGATAAAGGAAAATAAAGAGAATAAATAGATAAGAGAAAAGAAACAATAAATAAGTAAATAAACTAATAATAATAATAAAAAAAGAAGAAATAAATAACAGGAAAGCAAGAATAAATAAATAAATAAAGCAATAATAAAAACTATGATAATAAAAAAAGAAAGAAACAGTTATAGTTTTCCAACCAGCCGCCATGTAAATAGAAAAAACACAAGCAATCATATAAAACTTACGTCCCGTGATTCCTGAATAGCATACCGAAATTCTTCTATACAAAAATTATTACAGCGCAAAGAGTGCAACGGAACGCAATAGCTGAACGGAATTGCAATTGATCAGTAAACAAATCAACGTTCTCGAGGCAACCGTGAAAAACAGATTCTCAACTAACTAACTAGGTACGGAAGAAAAAAATGCAACAAGAAGAATTATATCAACACCAGCGAATGCAAGTACCGATGCTGACGTATCCAAGTACCCGATTCTCCATCTCATTTACAAGGATAGGTTATGAGTTGCTAAGTCCCGGGATATGGCTCTGCAATATGTCGGCATTACTGCTACACCATTGCAAGCCACCCCCCAGAGTGAAAAACGGAAAATCCAGCCGTACACTTTGTTGATTCTAAAATGAATGTAGTGCAGGGAGCTAAAGTCATCGACAACATTCCAATTCCTTTCCATCAAACTCGATACAAAACTGATTTGGATTTCAGCAAAAGCCATCTTTCGCTAACAATAGTACAAACTTCACAACATGACAATCTGAGTAATTGCGGAATACACACCCTCGGAAATGTGTGTCGCTACCTTTGCAGGGCTGATGAGTTTTGAAACGCCACTGATTTACCAACAAATTGGTGTACATCTCAAGATGCCAAGATCATCCGGCACCGTCTCGCCCACGACATCTCCTTTTTAGCTAAACCAAACGGGTGTCGAGGTGAGACTCCCAAATTGAAAGCCCACCCCGCAAACTTGGCAGCAGAAGTGTGTAAGCAAATCTTGAGGCTAGTGGAATGTCGCTCCATAAAGTTACCAACAGAGAAGGTTGAATCCGCAAATAAAAGAAGGTTGTTAAATAAAACTAGCTACGCCGTGACCAAATTTGTCATATCATATGGCATCTCTTAATACCATCAACATCAGGTACGGCACGCGGAGCCTCAGATGAGGATAGCATATGCTTCGGCTTTTTGATACCAGTAGATTACAGTAAGCCTGACAAAGCCGCCAAGAATCTTCGCCTATTGATTGCGGAAAACTGTTCCCACCATGACACAATGACCCCGAATGACCGTGCCGAAGGATCACAGCGCCTAACAACATTTGGTAGCCGAATTTCCTTGCAAGAGCAAGCATGGATGAATTTCCGTCCAACGGGATGGTGTTTGGTATAGGGTCGTGAGCGCCCGTTCTGAAGTGTAGCAGATATATGTTCCTCTCCGACGTAAGAAGGGGATGTAAGGAAGCAGCCTTCCTTACCTTCGGCGAACGCCATAGGAATCGTGGATCTAATTTAAATATAAAACCTGCATGTAATTCTACCTAAGATCATTAAACTATAAGAGATCACATTCAAACTTCTGCTCTTGTTATCTTCACTCGAAACTGTGGTAAAACTCCTCATGATCTCGTTTTGCACCTTTCTATAAGTATTAATATAGTTTCCCTTAACTTACACTCTCAAGTAAACATTAGTTTGTAAGCGGCAGAACAAGTAAACACGCCTCGTGGTGAACGCTCTAGGTATCACCGTGTTGGTTTGGCAGCCAGCAGCTATAAAAACAGTGCGCAAACAACGATCATTCTTTCAGCTGTTCAACAACAGTCGAAGTAACAAGTAAGTCAAGAACCCCGTAAGTGGTAGTAGTCTGATATTTTGTCTGCTCCGAACGAGATCCTTAAGATAACACTACGCTCTTGCATCATTATCTTTTAGATCCTCGGCCCGAACGGATACCTTAGTTTTACCGCTAACCAGTGGTCAGGAGTTAGGAGGTATTGTTCGTCCCCAACGGGGGCCCGTCGGGTAATTAGGTGTCCTTACCATTACCTTATTGTCTCAGGCAGGATACCTTATATTTGTAGCTAAGTGGTCATTAGCAGTTAGATATCGTCTATCCGGAACGGGACCCTTAATGTAAAAGACGTGCTTCTACACAATGGCCTTATGGGCTCACGGCCCGAAAGCACCGCAGAGGAACCTCACCCCTTGAGGGACCCAGTAGACTGCCTGCTGAACTACTAAAGTAATAATTTACAACAATTGATTTTCGTCATTCAATTACGCGCGGGTCATATTTCTAAATAATTGGTTTTCACTTTCGTAAGGAGTTGTAATTTCCGCGTACAAATTTAAGGTGGGGGATCTGACAGTCTGCTTTTTCCAGATATGTCGTAATAACGGCACTACCGCGCGATATCAAAAATAGCGGTTTGCCGTTATGCAGAGAAGAAAAGAGATCGAGCGAGAAAAGTTCGCACGCAGATAAAAAAGAGGGGTTATTCGTGAAAAAATCTAAAAAAAAAAATATTCCAAAAATAAAAAAAATGTATTTTGCCTCTTATGACCATGCTCACTCTTGAAACTCGTTCAGGGCAATTTAAGGAATCGAATGGATCCAGTCCCGAGGTCGTAGGACCGCTACGAACGCCTATAAACCGCCTCACAAATGGCCATTTTCACATTTTTGCTAGAATTTGAGCAACATTTAAGAAATGTTTATCATATACAAAATTTTACATTCCATTTTACAAAAATAAAAAAAAATTCTGGAAAAATTTTACAAAAAAAAATTTCAAAAAAAAGAAGAAGAAGGAAAGAACAATAGAAGAAAAAGGAGAAAAGAAGAAAGGAGAAGAGAGGAGGGAGAGAGGAAAGGATGGTGAGAGGCGAAGGGAAAATAAAGGGAGAGGGAACCTAAAATTGATTGGGAGCGGCAGAAGCGAGCAATGTCAGAACATTCTAAGGCGATCTCTTCGACTTACGCCATAAGGCAGCGAAAAGATAACCTTGATCTTACGGTAAATATACATTTTCTTTTCTAAAAACGCTGTAACAGAACTTGCATATAGATACGCCACACATCAACCAAGTACATAAAAGCCTCGGTCCTTGTTCCAAGGCAAACATTTTGGTTAAAATTTGTAAACCCAGATCGCCTACTAAAAAGCGGTCAGAACGCACGGAGGCGCGAACGATCGCAATTATGGTCTGCCGGTGAGCGGTGACATATCTCAGCTAAAAATTGAATAAGAACAAATGAATAAATGTTAGATTTTGAAATACATCTTAATATATTTACCTTGGAAGGACATTGTGTTGATGTCCCTGTGCTCCCTGAAGTTTTCACTGGACAGAGGCATAAACAACACGAACCCCAGTAAATCAATTGGATGCCTCACGCCGCTACTGCACTATCCTGCTGTCCACTATGCTCGCCTGCACGTGCCTGCCTATGTTACGTTCGACCATATGTTTCCTCATGGCCGCGTAGAAAACCTCATAGGTCTCCTGAAATGCTGCGTGGACCTCTTGTGATGGAAAGGCCGGCTTGAGATATTTAGAGGTGAAGGTCAAACTGTCCCGCTTGACCCTCGCGAAAACCAACCAGAATGTGTATGAAAATGAACAAAAAACAATCAGAATGTGTCTGGAAATGAACAAAAAGCAACCGGAATGTGTCCGGAAATAAAATACATATATTTTTTTAATAAAATTAAACAAGAGCTAAGAAAATATCTCCCCGCAACATTTTTATTTTATTTTTGTTTATATTTGACACGTGTGTCATCAGGCTGCATGATATTTTTTACTAGAAACACCTGTAGCATAACGATTCTCTGATTAAATAAATTTTTTTGCACAAAAAGCAAATAAAACGAAAATTTGAAAATTTAGCAAATATCAATTTATATATTTATTTATTATATTTATTACACAAGTGCCAAGCAAATAGCCAATGATGTATAACTCTACCATCAACTTGCCCGAAGCGTCGAAAGCATGAAAGCCCGCAATTGAAGGGATCACGTGTAACATACACTTTGATTTAGTTGGCAATATGTTTACCTAAGAATTCAAAACTTTTTCGTTTAGTCAACAATGAAGATTTGATGAGGTAATGGCAACAAATTCTTGTGGAAAAATTTATAGCCTCACACAATACTAGAATTATTATATTCGAAAGAGAACTTTTGTTCTATTTAAATTGAATTTTCTGATTTTTTTTTTTTATATTTTTGGTTCATTTTAATTGAAATCTCTTTGAAACTTAAGGAGATGTATTTTTTTCTTTTGTTTAATTGCTGTTGATTGGTGATTTTCCATGTCAATGTATGAGAAAAGAGAGTAAATATTTCCAATATTTATATTCTAACATTCGGAACGGTCAGAAGTAAATTTAAGAAGTTAAATACAAAACATACTATGTTAGCTAGAAAACTCTTGGTCCCTAAAGTAACAAAATTCGAAGTTCGCTCATTTGCTTACGCTCTTTAGCAACAAAATTCGAAGTTCGCCCATTTACTTACGTTCTAAAGTAACAAAATTCGAAATTATTTCACTTTTTATTTACGTACGCAGAGAGAGGTTGTGTTTCTACAGAGCAGCTGATTAAAAATGTGCGCGTCTTATAGAATTTTGTGGAGGACTTAAATTAATATATTAAAGGCCGCAGAAAAAGAGATTTTGGTAATTTTTTTCTTTCTTCAAATTGAAAACCAAATGAACTTACCGAAAAATATCCTCATTTAATAAAGATTTGGCTCCTTTGCACATTGTACACTTGATGGAAGAAGGAAAATTCTTGCAGCCCAGTTTTTTATGATCAGCAAAAGTATAGACAAAAGTATACCGCACTGCATAATAAAGCGAAAGTCGTTAAAAAAATGTTGAAAATATTAAATTAGTTTTTGTTTTCTTAAATTTTTCTCTCTTATATATTTCGAAAGTTTACATGTCGAAAGTTTTAAAATAGAATAAGAAAGAATATTATATTCATCTTGAGGCCAATCATAGATACTAAAGCGTTTTATTGTTAGTTCTGCGAATAATGCGTTAATTTGTGGGTAGTAATAATTAATTGTTGTTATTATTATTATATTTGATCGACCGTATGTTGTTAATGAAAATTTTTTAACGTTGTTTTTATTCTTTACTTTCAAAATTCCAAACCTTTTCTAGTAAATTATTCCCGAAATATGCGTCAAGTTTATTATTTCTTAAGCAGAATCTAAGACCTATTTTATTGGTTGCCTGATATCACATTTCTGGCCATAAACTAATTTTTTGAAAGCAGAAAGGCATGGCCAGAACACCTACGCCGATTATACTGCTTGCTAGAGTCATTACATAGCCAGTATCGCCCAACATTTTGAAGATTGCAAGACGGTGAAATTTAGTAAATTCTCTAAGTTTAAAAGCAAAAACATCTGTTGACGATCGGATAAATTGATTATAAATCTGTAATATTCAATTAACCTACTAATCCAACCTACGTTATGACGGTAACGTAGAAAATTGAAAGAACATTTTTATGCCACTTTCTATACGGTATGCAGAGCAGAAATAAAGCTATCATACAAAACTTTGGAGAATCAACACCAACACAATCAGAAAATTTTTTCTGCTTTTCTGTAGATATTTGAAAGTTGTGCGTGCGGACGAAATTCATGTGTAGGCATACATAACATGTATAAAATAGTTTAGGATATCTATGGTCAGGGATATTTTTCATGGTAAAGGATTTGCATTTGTTGAAAGTAACTCTGTGATTTCTATGCTCTCTCCATTCTCAACAAAAGGGAGTTCTTACTAAGAAATGATGTAAAGGAAAAAACCAGATGACGGCTTTTAGCCGTTTTAGCGAAAATTCAACTCAATGCAATTCAATTAGTTTCAGCAAAATTTCACAAGTACTCAAAGAAGTTGTAAGAAGTGAGTAATTGCAAAAAAAATTTTAAAAAGAAAAAGAAAAAAGGTTACAAATTTGAAAAAGAAACATTGCACATGGAACGTGTTTCGGTTTAACTGACACACATTCCTATACATTACACATATAAACACATAGTTAATGATCTTTCATTCTCTATATTTATATTTGTTATCATTCCCATGCTTCCTATATGTGAAATAAAACTTGTACATTAACAGTTACGTTACCATGCAAAGGTTGCCATATTGAATTTGTAGTGGTTTTTGTTACAGCATAGGAATATACCTAACTGCCTTCTACGTTATACCTATTGGGTCATACACGAGATCACGGACGGAAACGGTTACTTGTGGACACACATTCTAATATCTTTCATTACTTCATATACATAAGCTGAGCTATGAGCTCTACATTGATTTTCGCTCCTCGCAAGCGAGATCATAGACTTAATCTCCCTCACTTCTTTATTAATAAGTTACGGTTAGTCTATTGAACTGTTCTTATTAATTAGGGATTAACAACTGCATAACTTAATATATTTATTTTGTTCCCGACCCATAGTTTCCATATACATGTTTATATATTTCACTGTAAGTGGTACATATCCTGCATAAGTACAAACCTAACAGTCTTGTGGTCTTATTGCTGGCACACGCAAAATCATATACCTTACTATTTACTTGCTTATTAACAGTGTCGTCAATATGCTAAGGATTGTATATTGAGTTTTTTGGTATAGGCATACACATAATGGTCTATATGTTTTGGTAACTACCCCTATTTCTGAAGTATTACTTGAATTGTTCTTATTATGTAGGGATTAACGTCTATATATTGTAAAATAGTTATTACCTGCCCATAGCTTCCGTAGAAGCAATAAGAAGAACAAGAAACCTACATCAAGAAATATCAAGAACGAGAAATCTACCCCAAGAAATAAGAATAACAAGAAACCTACACGAAGAAATATCAAGAACAAGAAACCTACACCAAGAAATAAGAAGAACAAGAAACCTACGCCAAGAAATATTAAGACGAAGAAACCTACACCAAGGAATAAGAAAAACAAGAAACCTACACCAAGAAATGAGAAGAACAAGAAACCTACACTAAGAAATAAGAAGAAAAAGAAACCTACACCAAGAAATATCAAGAACAAGAAACCTACACCAAGAAATAAGAAAAACAAGAAACCTACACCCAGAAATGAGAAGAACAAGAAACCTACACTTACGTGTTCTATGGGCGATGTTGTAGTATTTTGACAAAAATATTATGTTAAGTTAACTTAATATAACCTGCACATCGTTGAAAAGGCTACTAATAGAGGATTCATTATGTGCTAGCTTCATTTTTTCACAGAACATGGTTTGTCCACAGTGACCTTTCAGAGTTTGCTTATATGTCAGCCTATATTATGTTAATTTTCAAAGTCCCATAAAAAAATTCTGGGGGCAAAACTTAATATAACCTGCACATCGTTGAAAAGGCTATTAATAGAGGATTCATTATGTGCTAGCTTCATTTTTTCACAGAACATGGTTTGTCCATAGTGACCTTTCAAAGTTTGCTTATATGTCAGCCTATATTATGTTAATTTTCAAAGTCCCATAAAAAAATTCTGGGGGCAAAACTTAATATAGCCTGGACATCGATGGAAAGGCTATTAATTGAAGATTCATGCCACGCTAGTTTCATTTTTTCATAGGGCATGGGTTGGCCATAGTAGCTATGCACACTTTCGCTTTATCAACCTCATTTATGGCATAGTGTAAAAATGTTGTCCTTTCGAATATTACCTAATTTACATAAAGTCATGTTTTGTTCATAATAATTTGCAAAAAAATTCTCGAAAAGTTCTATTTTATTTGTATTTTGAGTTAAATCTCTCCGAGACTTCGTTTAATAGAATTCTGTTAACGAGTTTATAAAGTCTGCAAAAAAAAATTGGGTTGTGTCTTTGCGAGTTACATTTAAATATAACCTCCCACCCTTACATAATGAAACATTTTATCACTTTTTAATTTATTCCACAATCTATTGATTGATTCTTATTGGAGATTTTGTAGCTTTTCTAATATATCTTTAATAAAAAAATTTTCAAAAACTTTATTTATCTCACGCCTGACAATTTTTTTACACCAACATCTTTTTCTTTTTTTCTTTTTCTTTCTCACTTCACTGAAGTGGGTGCCGTTCATTCTCTTCTTTTCCTTCTAAACCTCAAACTTCTCTCGACGATTGAGCTTCGCAACTCCATATTACGGGGTTGTATATGGAACAACTCTTCTATAATACAACCACTAGTTGTATATGGAACAACTCTTCTATAATACAACCACTTGTTATAGTTTATATACGTATTCATTAGAGTAAGTCTAATTGCGACAAATAAATTTATAATTGCCAAACCCAAATTTTCGGCAAAACGTCCTAGTCAACGTAATAAGCCTAAAAAGCTCCCCCATTACCACCAGATTAGGTAAGGGTTCCGACATATTGCACGACTCGTGAATCGTTTATGCATTCCGTAACATCAACGCAAAATGCAAACTTTTGCTTTTGTTTTCCGGCAGGTATTACGTATGGTATAAAATTATCTTTCTTATTAAACAACATGTTAACACGATAATATTTGAAACTTTGTCTGCAAAGATTAATATAGTCAACTGTAAAGCGATATTAAAGATTTGACTGTACGAACCGTCGCTGAATTATAAACCTCTACTCGGGAAGATCATATATATAGCATTTGGAATTGCTGAGCGGTAAATAACTTTCTAATAAGAAAATCCTTTAAAAATTTATACAGGCTCTGGGACTTACGTAATCATGAAAAAAGTCTTAAAAATTTAGCACTTGAATACTAACACCTTGACATGCTTCCAGCAGATTAGGTGGCGCATTTAGTTTAGCGATACATGTATCATTTTTTTAATGGTATAATCGGTTGTAATAGGGATTCTTTTGGATATTTAGAAAAAGAACTAAATAAATTAAATTGGACTAATAGCTTTCCAACATTTGTGCGGCGCGAGATAAACCAGCCTGATTGTAATAGAATTCGGACGAAAACAGTATTTGGACATTTTGGTATAATTATGAAAATTCAAAATTGTCTCCAGCAGTGTTAATAGAATCTAACTAAATGCCTGCCGACTAATATGAAGAACTCATATTATCTCGTTTAACTTTTTTGTTGCATTCATTAGTCAAGGAAGAATATGATTGTTCATTTCATTTGCAAGCTGCTGAAATTCATGAGGTAAGGATGTATACACAAATGAAGTGACTTTTTAAATTATCAGACAAACAATGGGGGAGTCAACTCGAAGAGTAAGTAAAAAGCGAAAGTTAGCTTTGGTCGAATATCTTAGTACCTACCACGTGCTTGCTTGGCTTGTTTAGGAACGTCGAAGAATAGAGGATCTTCTGCTTATGCAACTTCGTCTCCGAAAAAATGTGTTATCGGTCAACGTAAGGCTTTAAGTTCAGTGTCTCTAGTGTCTACTTTAGGTATCCGTAGAGGAACCAGATTGAGATAAAAACTTCGAATATTTTCTTTTTGGTTACGGCCGCAGATCGAGTTTGCACAGGCGGGATCTTTGCAAAAATACATATGCAAAAAAATTATTATTAATCTGAAAAGTTTTTCAGTATCATTAAAAACGCTGGAGGAAGAAGTGGAAGTAATATGCAGTCAATATTCAAAAAATTGTAACTTATGATCTAGAGGCCATATTGATTTAAAACTTGTGGAAATATTTACTAAGGCACATGGAAGTTCATTGTAAATAAACATCTAATCGAGCGATTCGTGCATACTAAATCAAGTATAAATTTCTTCAACTTTCAACAATCTTATTGTTAAAGCATATATTTGTTATTTACTTTACATACTTTTAATTAAAACTTGCAATATTC